CATCAATCATTTTTCACTTACAACATTTATCACATGTGTAAATATCTTCTGCAAATGAAGTAGCAGAACTCTATCAAGGAACGGGGGGTTATGAAAATTTAGTCTATGTAGTTAGAAAATTTTATGACTGTGTATTAAAGGAAAGATCTGAGACAACAAACCTTTACCACAAAATATGTGTGACTCTAATCTCCTGGAGAGGGAAATGCCAAGCTGGGTAGCGGCCAAAACAGCCTAATATTTTTCCTGGCAACAATCCTTCCTTTCTCTGGGAGAGCTCACCACCCTCTCTGCGTCTGAGGAGATGCAGCACATTTATTTTATAGCATGGAAAGGCAGTCAGGAAGCATTTATAACTGTTCTCTACCGAATTGTGCAATACACCCAACTTCTGAGTTTACGCTGTAGGAGAGGGGCCTCCTCAATGGGTGAGACCTAATCTCGGTCTTAAAGCACTACTGGTAGAACTCCAAGTTGATTGTTGACACCATCTGCTAGCAGGCATTCCCAGGGAAGGCAAACCCTCAAATGATTGTCCTCTCTCTCCTGCACTGCTGTCTCCATATACTCTCCTAGGGACTTCAAGGTTCCTCTTCTACCTGCTCCTTCAGTGTTAGGTATCCTTGGGGTTCTTCCCAGGTCTCTGTTTCTCACTGTAGTCTTCATGTCCCCCACTCCCACCCCTCCCAGCCCCAGGCAATCTATTCTTTCCTCACCCGTAACTCCAATAACCATTTCTATGCTAAATCCTCAGTTCAGATCTCTTTCATGCCTCAGGTCCTTCCTTATCTTTCACCAACCACTGGACATATCCACTTGGACATCCCATAGGTATCTCCAAAATCAATTAGTTTAAAACTGAGCTCATTATCCTCTCTCTCCTGCATCATCTCCCTCCTTTCCCACCCAAATTTGTTTCTCCCACTGTGTCTGTAATCTGTTCTCCACCCTACAGCCAGAGGGATCTCCTTAAAATGCAAATCTGATAACATTTCTCTCCTATTTAAATCCTTCATAGGCTACTCTGGGCCCTGAAGATAAAATCTGTGTTCCTCAATGTGAGTTACAAGGCTCTTTGTGATCAGACACCCACTTTGCCTAACTTTCTCTCTTCTCTTTTCTACTCATCTCCCTCAAGCCCCCTCCCTGACCTCCCACCACAAGCACTTTAGGTTCTGACCTGTTGAACTTCTTACATGTGTTCCTGGCATGTGTCCCATTCTCTTGGCCTCCAGGCCTTTGCTTGGGCTGTGCCATCTGCCTGAGCCCCCTCCTCTGCCAATCAAGCCCCTTCCCTTGGCTAATGTCTACTTATACCTTAGAGGTCTCAATCTAGATATCCCTTGCTCTCAAAGACCCTGCTGCCTGATTCCCCATGTTTGTGCTAACTGCATCTTCCAGGTGCTCCCATCACACTTTACTTGCCCAAGTATTTGCAAGTTTTATTGTTGGTCTTTTCCACTAGACTGTAAGTTCCCTAAGGGCAGGGTCCATATTTAGTTTGTTCAATGTTGTATCTTCAGTGCCCAGCACATGAATGAATGGAGGCTGCAAATATATAAAAAGTAATATCTCCCAAATGTGTGGAGACCCCCTTCATAAGGTAAAAACACCAGTATATATATGTGTGTGTATATACTGTACAGCAAATTTTTCCTTCTTGGTGTCTTGGATGCTACTTGCTGCTATTATGGGTAACACTAATAGGAGTGAACAGGCGTTTGGTAAGTTTCTGTAGAAGAGGGGAAAGCTGCTTGTGTCCAGAGCACTCTGGGGATGCTATTTTTCTTTTACTTTGGGCCTTATTACTCTCCTGGCTATCAGGTGGAGAGCATATCCACCTCACCATGGGGCTGAGAAGGCAGTTCCCTGTGAAACATGAGGTGAGGGATTTGTCCTTCAAGAGCAAGTTTTGATAAGAGGAAGGAAATGGCGGGAAACGCTGGGTGTCAGCAGGACCCTTGGACTATCCAAGCCTGTTTAGATGGGGTTGTGCCTAAGTGGAGTCTCTGAGGTATTTTAACATCTGCCTCCAGTCTACAGGTGGATCACAGAGTCTTTGATGCTCAAACATTCTCCTGTATTTGTGGAGAGAGAAGTCTGACATTTCCCAAAGGATTAAGTACTGTTGTTTGGTAAAGGATAAAGTGCCATGTATTTTGAGCTTCTCTATGGGGATTGTTCATCTTTGTCATCTTTTTGGATCCATTGCAAAATAAATGCAAAGCGAAGGAGGCCCAGCCCTCCACTGGTTCCCCAAGCAGAGGTGAATTTACTGTGAAATGATGGCTCTTGAGCTCAAGGGCCCCTCACTTACATGAGCCCTAGCAATGTGTTTACAAGGTTGTTGTAAAATTTGCAGAAGTAAGACCTTTTAATAAGACAATAAGACCATTGATTAAGACTACTCTGTCTTTCCACTCCCTCTTTCGTTGATGTCAGGTGCCCCTGGAGTGGCTGTGGGCATCTTTGGATCCAGCTAAAGAGAAGTTGAGTTGGGTATGCATTTGGGTTAGAGGGGTATATTTACGTTGTTCACAGTCACTTCTGTATGGAGTTAAGTTGCTGCTGTCCTGAGGTAGCAATGGCTTCCAGGAGTATTCCTACAGACTACTGTGCCCTCTCATCAGGACAGGACAAGTCAAAGCTATGAGCTTTAGGCCCCACAACATGTGGATCCACCTTCTCTCTAGGCATAGTTCTCAGGCCAACTAGACTCTGTGCAAACCTGTGAACACTCCAACTTGGGATCCCAAGCAAGAGAACCTGGCAGAAGATCCTTTGATCCCCTACCCCCTTGTGTTGCATTCAGTTCTACATAGCACTACCCTGTCAACACCAAAAGAGAAAGCTTTTGGCTTGATCCTGCGCTATTATTTGAACTGCAATTTAGTTGAGAGCATTTTTGTTTACAAGGAAAAATATGCATCGACATCTTTTTTTCCACTTGCTGTAATATCCTCTCTGCTTTTGTAGCTATGTCTCTAGAGTAAAACCAGGTATGAGTGGGTTGATGTGGCCCTTGGTCCGTGTGAATTCCTAATTTAACCCTTCCTACAACCACTTATTTGATTCATTACGAAGAGTTACTCTTTCAGCCTAGTAGTGTATTTGTTGTGGTTGTTTTATATAATATATTTTTACTGAAAACCAAAATATCATATTGTAATAATGTAAAAGTATTAATAAATGTTTAATGTAGAAAACAAAATTCTTCATAATCCAATCACTGCTGTTTGTTGTAAATTCTTACATGTTTTTTGCATGCTGTAGTATGCATATTCGGTTTAACTTATTTTAAAATATTTTTTGACACAAGTGGGATCATATCCATATTGCTTTGCAACTTACCTTTTACACCTAACAGTGTATCTTGGATATCTTTCTGTGTTCTTTTAAGGGCTGGAGAGCACTTTTTATCTGGTGATATCATTAATTTAGTCAATCAATTCCTTATATTAGGGTTGTTTTCAGTTGTTTTACTATAACAAATGGTGCTGTAATGAGAATCCTTGTTCGTATATCTTTGCACACCTTGGAAGGTTTTTTCCCCCAGTGGTGTAAATTTCTAGCAGTAGAATTCCAGGGTCAAAGAATATCCACATTTAAAAATGTTAATAGATGTTTCCAAATTGCTCTCTAAATCCTTGTGCCAATTTATAGACTTACCAATAATGTATGCGAGTCCACATTTCTCTACACCACTGTCAACCTAATAGTATCAATCACTTTAATTTTTTCAATCTGAAAATGGTAGCTAAAGGTCCCTTTAATTTTTATTTCTTTAATAGGTTGAATGTCTTTTCATATCTTCATTTATTGCTGTATACTTCTGTGATTTGCCTGTTCATATTCTTCGACAATTTTTCTTAAAAAAACCATTGATTTATTACTATTTTCTTACTGGCTTGTAAGAGTTATTTGGAATTACTTGAGCTATTAGCCCTTTGTCCTACCATGACACTTGATTGCAAAGGACACTTGCTATTGCATTTTAAACTCTTAAGTTTTGCTATGAAAATCCCTTGGGATATAGTCAGTGACGCTGTATGTAAATTAATAAAAATAAATGGAAATGTTTCACAGAGCTAAAAAATTAGACTGGTGGGCATTGGTCAAAAATTTGTTTGGAAGGTAAGTTTGTCCTTTATTAGCAGAGAAGTTGTCACTCTTCTTCCCTAAACCAAGGAAGGAGCCCAAATCGGAAGCGAAGGTCCCCCTTGCCAGGTTTACGAAAAGCTCTGTGATTAAAAATTAGTCTTTGTTCTGGCATATGGTGCATAACATGAATAGTTTGTTTTCATTTTTCATGATTTTACTGCCCAATACCAGGCTCTGCCTGGTTTAACATTTAGATCTAGAAAAGTTAACTTTATAGGAAACTAATTTGTGTTTTTGAAGTGCTTCTGAATTTAGCACCTAGATCAAATTATGTTTGATGTTTTTCATGGACACTGTTGTATTCTCTTATTTTGCATGGTTAACTGTTACTCATAATTCTGATACATATTGAGCACAATGGATCAATATTTTAAATACACATTAGTTAGTCTTGCTATAAGTATTGGCATTGTTAGACAACGAAAACCTCCGGATCAGAAGTTGTAATTTGACAGCCCACCGGCTGTATCTGCTCCACAGACATTTACTCAGAGTTTAAGAACTATTTTGAACCAGTTGCTAACGTTAATTAATGGTTTCATATAAAACCAGATTTCTGGTTTCTCTTGAAAAATGAAAATTTTGGCAATAATGGTTTATATGCGTGTTAATATGAACTGGAAGTGCATAGGGGCTCTTCTCTTTAGATGGGGTAAGTGGTCTGCCGTTTGCCACAGTTCCCGCCATTCTTTAGTGTGTTACGCCAGGCCTCCTTCACTCATTTCTGTACACTATGTAGTTTGCTCTTTTTTATTTGTAGGCAAATAAAAATATAAAAAGGCATGTATGTAAAAAAATTCCTTATTTTTTTCATTAATAAATTAACGAAGACATCATGCAGCTTCTTTGCTTTATTGGATTTTCTGGTACCTTCATCTCCTTAAAAAGGTAGTAAGAAATACAGAGATATTAGAGGCAATAAACATCACAGTGATATTAACTTTCTTTTCCCCAGATTTTACCAACAAACTGCTCCATTGCCTGGTGAAAAAGAAGATGACTGGAAAGTTTTATACTTCCTGGAGTTCCACTATCTTACGCCGTAATTTCTTTAGGTCTTTCTGTACTTTATATTTCTCTATATCCATCTTTGTTTTCTGTATTTGTTGGAGGGAGCTGAGAGAGTCATGAATTGATTTAAATCCTGGAAGAGCATATGAGAATAGGTATACTTAAATTAAACAATGTGTTGGAACTTTTTTTTCTTTTACAAAAGTTGCTAATCAGCAATTCTGTCATAATTGATCATCGTTTAATACAAAGCACATTAAATTCTATTAAGACCAGTCTGAAAATGTACAATAATCCATTTCTTGTGTGTCATGAAGATGCATTAGCAACAGTGTTTCAACTTGTATCTGGCTTCAATGTGAAAATTTAATTCAATTCCTCTCCTTCCCCTCTCCCCAGATATATTGCATAATGAAATAATTCTATATTTCAAGAGAGAAATTTAAAATATTTTCTTCTTTCTGTGTACTTTGGGGAGAGATTTAGATGATCTCTTTTTTTATTCTTGTTACCAAATTGAAGGTAAAGACTACCTTTAAAAGATGAGATTTTAAAACTTCTCTGAAAGTAACCTGTTTGAGGGACCTAGGGAGTGGCCACTGGCTGCTCCCCGCCCTCCACCCCCGAGCACTTTGTATGTCTCTCTCTTATGCAAGTCTAGCCACTCATGACCACAGACCTCCCGGACCTCAAGCTTCTGAGGTACAGCCCATATCTTATTCACTGAGGCCTTTCATATAGTCACTTTTCAATACATTTTTATTAAAGGCATAAAGGAGCAAACCAGTAATTTGGAATTCCCCTTTGCTAGAACTCCCAGTTAGTAAAATGCAGAAACATGCAGATTGCAAACTCCTCTTCAGCTCATCCTGGGGTCATACTAATGGAATGAATAAAATTAAACCTCTGGTAGTTAAGTAGAGAGCAGGGCCCTAAAAGAAGGGCCAGTTAAGTTTGGGTCATGATTCCCGGGCAGATAATTCGTTATTTTGATTTGGCGGTGGGAGTTTGGGGGTAGAGGTGGTGTGGGCCAGATTTCCAGGCAGCAAATTTAACTTGTATGCCAGGAACAAAATGAGACTATGATATCTTCCCAAGACACCTCCAAGGATCTCTACAATAAGGACTAAAATTTGATAGAATTTATGAATTTTTCTGAGATTTAGAGAACAGAAAATTAGTTGGGGCTTTCTCTAATAAAGGAACCTTCTGATTCCTGGTAATTCCCTCAGAATTGTGACTCGAGGCAGATGGCTGCTCCACAGCACCTATCCCATGTCCTTCCCTTTGACAAATTAGATGAGCCTTTCAAATTAATCCTCTTTGATGTTAGCTCAGCTTGACACTGCTACCGTTAGCCTCCTTAAGAAGAAAAGCAGTCATTATACTGGACTCTGTTAATTCATCTCTCTTTCTCACTTCTAAAGGTCGAGTCTCCAGTCTGACATCTGTCCAGGCTCATTACCTGCAGTTCAATGAGGGGCATTTGATTTAGGCTCCTAATTTCATGATACAACCACAGGTCAAGTTTGCTGATCTCCAAGGACTTTCCAAGTCTAACAATTCTATGATTCTGTCATCTTAGAGAGTAAAAAATCTCACAGCAATGACAAGCTTGTGTAAGTGTGAATGAAGAAAGTAATTTCCCACCTTCCAGTGGTATGCTGACATTCTATGGGATACTTAGGAAGGTCAGATTAAATACAAAAGGATGTCACTAATGACAAGGGTGATCCTGGCCATTAGCTCAAAGTGGAAAACTGAGGGATAGGCTAGGAAAGGACTGATGTTCTTAATCAAAGGTATCTGCTCACCTGATTGATATTCATTCTGCATTTTCTCTAATTCACTCCAGATGTGCTTTTCCAGTTGGTTCATCTTTTTGGACAGTTTATTTTCTATATCCTTTACTTTGTTTAGTTCTGCTTCCTGTTTCTGTGTGTTAATGAAATTCTCTAATTTGCTTGAAAGTTGCAGTAATTTTTCTTCCATTTTATTTTCAGACTTTTCCTAGAAAAGATATCATGTGATAAAACTGCAGAAAAGAAAACCTATATGGATTTGTGTTTCAGCTTAGAGAATGCTTTTTAACAAATTCACTTTTTCATGTTCAACATGAAAAGTCAAACCAGGTTCCCTTGTATCTAAAACTGTGTTCACAAGTGTAAGAGTTCATCCCTTTGTTTGGCCTCATTTGTTTGTAGTTTCTGGAATTCTACATGTTATGAGAGAAAAGGAAAAGAAGGGCTGCAGTGTTGCTGAAATGCCCTGAGGATTTGGAGTTTCAGTCCAGTGTTTAAAGAAGTGTAGCCAAGGAAGGCGTTTTAGATCCTGCCTGACTGCAGCTCCTTGAACATACTCCGAAGTGTTCGATGTCCTTATTCCCTGGCGCTTCCTATCTCCATGTGGACTGACTTCATCTAGAACAGTGATTCTCCACCTCTGCTGTCTGTTAGAATCACCTGGACCATCACACCATCCGCCAAATTCTGATTTAATTGGTCTATTCTGCTCAGAAATTGTAGTTTAAAAGCTCTCCAGGTGATTCTAATGTGCAGCAGGGTGGGGACTGCAGAGGATCCTGAGGCTAGTTAGCTTCTATGCTCCTCCTCTCTCCCCTACAGGGAATTTAGGAGAAGGAACGAGAGAGACTGAGTTGTTTCTCCTCTCTTTAGCCCTACCTGCCTCAGGAATGATGGATTCCAGTCTCTCTCTTCCTTGTGGTGGGAGGCTTCTGCCTGCAGGTGACCCTGTGGTCACCTAATGCTGCCTAGAACTGGTGGAGGAGTCTGCCTGAATCTGGGAGAAGCCCAGGCCCAGTGGGCTGCAGATCTGACTGCACATACTTCAATAGCCTTATCAGTGACAAAGCTGTAATGTTTATCTCCATCTCTTGGACTCCTGTCTCTATCAGTTGTTTACAAACTCGGGTTGGGGGGGTGGTTGTCAGCGGTGCTACCTACTGGGCTGCCTAAAGCCCCTCTACTGACATTCTAGAAACATCTTATTTGAATCACTTGCAAGGCTGGCAACCACTGATGACACTGATGGCCCTGTGCTGCTTTCCCGTTGGGGCTCAGCAGCATGGCCCACTGTGCTGGCTAGTGTGGGCGAAGGGGGAGCCCTGTGATACATTTCTTGTATATCCTGGTAGCCTCACCCCAAAGCTGGGGTTTTCTCTGCAAGGTCTGATCTGGAAAAGGAGTTTTCCAAACCTTTGATCTACCAACGGATCTCCAGAGAGGTAAATGACTTGTCTAAGGCAGAAGTTTTCCAGCTTTATTGTGTCTAAGCATCATTCAGGGAGTTTGCCTAGGAGCACAGATTCCCAGGGGAGGCCCTGGAAGGTCTGATGCCTCAGCTCCAGGTTGGGACCAGGAGTCTGTATTTGTTAAAACTCGCTAAGTTATTCTGGTACAGATAGAGCACACTTTGAGAAATGTGGGTCCACAGAGTTGGGGAGTAGCAAACAGGACCAGAAGACAGGCATCTGGATTCCTATTCTGGTGCTAAAAAAAGTAAGTTACCGACACAGTGAAGGTTACTGTGAATGTTGAAGTGTGTCTTTCTAGACCTTTACTCATTGCTAACATCCAGACAATGACCATGCAGCTGTTAACTTCGTGAATAACAGAACTCCTTACCAGTTTCTCCTGTAGGAGCTTCAGGCACTGATTGATATGGCTGAGGAGGTCTTTTTCATATTTGATGAACTGGTTTTCTGTCCATTTTTTATTGTTCTCAACTTCCTCACACAGATTATTTGAAAGTGAATTAAATCTAAGGGAAAAAATAGTTTGTTCTATTTTAACACGTAAATTTAAACATAAAACCAAAATTTAGTATTGAAAAGTCTGCTGTTTTTTCAGAGGATGAGGCTCAATGTGTCTATCAAGTACTTACGGGTTGATGTGGGAAGTAGGGGTGAGGGAGCACACTCTGAGTCCCTGCCCTGAGCTTGTGTTCAGCCCAGCTGCTGACAACACCTCTCCACATACCCTAAAATACATATACACAGTGACAGGGGCACAGCCACACAGAAATGCATGTGTCATCCATGCCGACTTCCTCTCAGGGCCCAGCGTGCATTGTGTGTGTGGGGAAGAAATAGTTTGATAAGATAAGTCACTTGGGGTGGGAGTATTATTCTATAGTAGGGGTTGGCAAACTTTCCCGTAAAGCGTCAGATAGTAAATATTTTAGGCTTTGTGGGCCATACAGTCTCTGTTGTAACCATTCAGCTCTGCAAGAGCTCAGTGCTGCCATCACAGTGGGAAAGCAGCCACAGATGACACAAATAAACATGGCTGATTTATAAACAAACAATAAACAGATGAGCATGGTTGTGGTCTAATCTAACTTTATAGCCACTGAAATTTCATATAATATTCACATGTCACGAAATATAATTTTTTATTTAAAAAATTTATTAGAAAGTGTGAACACCATTCTTAGCTGTAGGCAGATTTGGCTAAGGGGGGTAGTTTGAGGAACCCTTGCTCTACAAGGGCCACTATGAGGCACAGGAGTTACTCCTGTGGGGCAAAAACAGCAATAATAGGCCAAGGAGCCGGAAAGGACTGCTGGCATCAAGACAATGCACCCCAGGAGTGTTAAATAACAGAGAATGGAGGATTCTTAAAAATGTAAGTAGATGTTTTTACAGAGATTAAAAGGGTTGAAATCATATGTCATTAACTTGAAAAGTCACTGTGGAGTGGCTGAGGGTTTGAGCAGAAAGGAGAATCCACATCTGGAGTGACTGAGACATACGGGCCTGAGAAGAGGTGGGATGAGGGTTGGGGACCGGCGAGGGGTTTCTGTATATGTTTTCTGCATATGACCTGCTCATGGTAAGATGTCAATTTCAAATTCTCTTTTAGAATAGGCAAAATATTAGATTGGCAGGAACAATACATGTTGTTTTTTATTGAGAATATTCAGACGAACTTACACCATGTGGGTGGCTTGAAACAATAGTTGCTTTAGTGTTTTCAGGAAAAATTATATGCAGATAATTTAGTTTGTGGGATATTTATCATCAGAAATTGCTTAAGACATGCTGGATATATACTGCATGTATATGCCTCTCTAGCTTTCCTGAAAAAGTATTTGGACTAATAAGTGGAAAAGACAAGTTATGTGAAGCCATTTTCATTTTTATTTAGACCAAGGAGTATTTAGTGATGTATGGAGATATTTTTTGTTGTCACAACTGGGAGGTGCTGCTGACATATAGTGGATGGAGGCCAGGGATGCTGCTAAACATACCTCAATGCACAGGACAGCTCCACAACAAAGAATTATCCAGCCAAAATGCCAATAGCGCTGAGGTTAAGAAACCCAAATTTAGATGATGAAATCAAGGAACGGGAAAAGTTAATTTTCCAATAGTTATATTAGCTGTAGTATAATAGGTAAATTCTGGTCTTCATCTCTCTGAATTATCACATTTCTTTGGATAGAGAGAGATTTTTCACACAGAAAGCATACCTTGATTCAGGTGAGTTCCTCAACAGTGAAGAAGATGAAGTTGGTCACTCTTCCTGTTCTCAGTCTAATCATGATTTCCAAACACCTGTGCTACCGGCTAACAGCTGTTGGATCTCAGACAAATAAGCTTCCAACGGATACATGGACAACCTCATTTTAGCCAACTGTTTCCTATGTCTGGAACGCTCTTCCTTAGAGGATACAATGGCTCCTGCCCTCATTTCATTCGGATTTATATTCAAGCACTAGTTTTTTTTTACTGTGCTAAGGAAAAAAAAAAAAAAAGATCCCCCTCCCCACCTGACCCCCTCTATTCCCTTACTCTACTTGCTTTTTCTCCAAAATGCTCATCACCATGTAATATAGACTAGTTGGTGTGCTGTCTACTTCACTAGAACCTAAGCTCTATGAAAGCAAGGATTTTGCTTTGTTCATGGCTGTAAACAATGCATGGAATATAGAAGGTGCCCACTAAATAGTTGTTGAGTAAATGAATAAATGATTCATTCTTTCTCATTCAACACTTTAATTAGGACTGTTACAAATAACAAATCATAGACTGTCAAGTTCTTTAGAGACTTATCTTCAATTTTCATCTTCCCTTCCCTGTCTCTGGTGGAAATAGTAATTAACAGTAATGGTTAAAGGGGACAGTAAATTCCCAGATAATCAATTGTAACTTTACAATTGAGAATCCAGCCCTTCATGCTCACCTTTATTGTGCAAATAAATGAGAGCATTTACTCTCATCACTGATACAATATTAACATCCCTCTGAAAACCAAAGACCGTTAAATGTGCCCAAGTAATATCATTGGAAGGGCATGTCAGTAATTGAAATTCTGAAATTAAAATAAAGCCATAAAGAATGAATTATTTCTTATGATCCTTTTATTACAAGGTTTTGCCTGCAATTGGAGACTCACTTTCCTGGTAATAATCAGAAGTCAGACTCTGTTGGTAGTTTGTTAAAATATGAAAGCATTTTTTAAAAAGTATTCTCCTTGAAATATAAAAAGGATAAACCGAAATAAAGGTTTCTATGTCTTTTTCATTCCTTAGACTTTTTCCTAATATAATGGACATGATTTTCCATGTAAGAATTACTTTTCTGTTAATTATAGAACTTACAGTTAAAATCTCAACAGGATGAACTTATCTTGGATGACATTCACATTTTAGTTCCAAAATCATCTATTCCAATGGTTATGGGAGTATTTGTATCGGATGTAGATAGATATAGGTAGGTAGGTAGGTATGGAGGGAGCTAGCTAGCTAGCTAGCTTTTTCTTAAAACAGAAAAAGTCAGACTTTTAAATTATGGCCAGAGACCTCACTAGGATAATGAGAGACATTGGTTTTTTAAAATTTTTATACTGCTGAAATCAGGTTAAAACACACACCAAGGGCAATTATAAGGGAGAAAGTTACAAAAGGATAAAAGAAAATTTAACAGGGATCTATAGACTCAGCAGAGCCCAGGCAGAGAGCTGTAGCGAGAGTGAACAGTGAGGGCAGAGTGTAGGGCTTGGCACAAACATCCTAGTGACCACCCCTGTTATGGTTGACATACATGGATGAGGACATAGTTCCATCCTGGGCCATTTTTTACTAGTTCACTTATGTCTCAAACCCAATATCTTGCATTCAACAATCCATTGAATGAACTAGAAGACATGGAAAGTTCGAATTCTTGGAGACTGTCACTATTAACAGGCTCTCGAGAATTCAGATAGTGGCTTTAACCAAGTCAATTTTTGGAGAGTAAATCTAAGATTTTAAGTTTCATGCCAGAAGCAAAAAATTAATTCCAAGAGACAGTTTTTGTACTAAGTTTGCACCTATATATCTTAAAATAATTTCTTCTTAATGTTCTGTGGTTTCTAATTAGTGACACTAATTAAAAAGCAATTCCAATTCCCCTCTGATAGGAAGACTTTTGTTTATTGGTCATTCAAATTGTACTTGAGGTTAAATCCCAGTATCTTCATAGCCTCAAACCTTCATAGTTTCAAGCAGATATGATCTTTCTCTACCCCAAATTTCTGTAGCACAACTAGTTTACTAACAGGTGTAATTGTGAGATGCAGGCATTATGTATTGGCAAAAATAACCTGAGAATTGGAGTAGTCACTTACTAGCTGTGTGACTTTGGACAAATTATTTAATCTCCATGATTATAAATTTCCTCATCTTTAAAATGGGGATAATACCCACCCTGCAGAGCTGAGTGCACTTGAACGTCTTCATCACTTAGTGATTGGTGGGCATTTATAAATGACAATTACTATTCTTATTATTTCTGTGTACTTATATACTTCATTTAACATTGTTTTAACTTTTACTCTATCTGTGTTTAGTTTTTCACTTATTTCTTTTCTCTCCAACTGTATGTAGCTATGATTATGTCTTTGGATATTGCAAAGCACAACTTACATATTACTGGTGCTCAAAAAATCCATTCATTCATTCATTGGCTTCTATTTGTGTCTGAATGTGCTGGGTGCTGAGAATACAAAGATGAATGAGATATGTCCTTGCCATGGATAGTTTGTAACTTTCTACTGAAGTAGCATTTTCAAAGTTGTATGGTAAGATTTGAGTGTATACATTTGCTTCATTGACCAAATACTTCTTTTCTTATAAATCACTATCAACTAAACATTGTTGGCAGCAAGAGCTATTTAGGGAGTGACTGGTAGATGCTGCCCTTGCCAAACCCTTGCTGAAAGATAGCTGTGCTTTATAATGGCCAAGACTCTTGCTCTATAAGCACTAAGTTGTTGGCTTAGGACATTGCTTAGCTGAACATCTGACTAAGAACCCTCTGGAAAGAGGAAGCTCAATGCAGCGGTTCAGATGACAGAGCCTGTGTGTCTCCTTTGTCGGAACTAGTGATCAGTGCCAAAGTCCCAGGAATTCACTAGAAAACCCCCAGACAATATTGTAGCTTTTAAGTTCAATATGAAATAAGTTTAGTGGAACATTAAACTTGAATTTGTTAAAGTTTCTAAATGGGAAAAGTGTTCAACTAAACTTACCATTTAATGTTATTAAAATGCTTTTAATACCTTTGTTCAGAGACAGTTGTTTCTTAAAAAAAAGAAGAGCAAAATTCTATATCTTATCCACTTTGTTTTGAGAAGTGCTCTGATTCAAAAAAAAAAAAGAGGCCCTACCTGACTCACTTTCTCTTTGAGGAAAATACATTTGCGATACATATCTCACTTAAAGAGTTAATATCCCTAATGTGAAGGAATCCTGCAAACTGATAAGAAAATGATGAAAATCACAATACAAAATTTGACAAATGATAAGAATGGGCAATTCACAGAAAAGGAAATTCAAATGGTGAAGGGAATGCAAATGAAAACAAAGATGCTATTTTTTTCATCCTTTAATTGGCAAATATTAAAAAGAAACAACATCCAGTGTTGATAAGAATGTAGATACAGGTCTTCTCATACATTACTGGTGAGAGTGTAAATTACTAAAACATTTTTAGAAAGAAATTTATAAAAATTAATAAATAAATAAACTCTTTGATCTAGAATCTTGCCTGTAGAAATAAAAGCACCTATATTTAAGAATATTTAAGGATATACACACAATAATTTTTCCGTTGGTTTGTGGTAGCTGTAAACTTGACAGAATCTGTTCATCAATAAGATAAGTGGTTGAATTAATTATGACATATCTGTAAATTAAAATATTATGCAGCTATGAAAAATAATGTTATAATATTCACTGATCTAGAGAGATATCTAAGATGTACCAGAGAAAAGCAAATTATTGAGTAGTGTGTATAGGATTAATTTAAAAAACCCATGTTCTCTCTATACATATAAAGTATTTTATATATATACATACATACAAATATACATGCAATGTCCTTTTTCTGTTATATATTTATATTAACAAGGGGGAATGTGTGGAGGGATACATCCCTGGTGTTAGCACTAGTTATATTAGGAAGCTGAGATGGTGACCTCTTTTTCATCTTTGTTTTATTTTGTTTGTTACAATGAATGCATATTACTTTTTAATTAAAAAAAATCAATGAAGAATATTTAATTAAAAAAGAGTCAATTGTGTAATTAAATCAATTGTTAGAGCGCATAAGTATTTGCCTGGGGAAAAATATGGCTTATAAATTCAATGTTACCTGCTGTAATACTAATGAAATTTTAAGACTTCATTATTTCAAGTGAGAAAAAGATTCAAGTTTATACTATTACAAAAGTGTCCAGATGCAGATTTCATTATTTAGATGATTTGTCTACAAGCCAATTTCCTAGAGGACTGAAGGGGGAAAAAGTACGCATCATCATCAATAAAGCAGTTGGCCCTAGATCGCAAATATTTCCTTTTCCCGTCTTTTCTGTTTGTTGATATACTTTATCCCTTTAAACCAATCTTCCATGTTAGATTATGAGTCCCATTTCTCCCCCAATAAAATCAATTCTTAGGTGGTACTTCTAGAAACAGTGTACTTTTCAGCTTCTCCTTTGGACACCTTTCTTTATCTTAATTCTAAGCTAAAGTGATTAGATCAAGCACACACAGATAATTAATGAGCATCCTTATTGTGCTAGGATTTAAGAACCTACATACACTGTTTTAAAGTATGAAGAAAGTGGGTATTTTCTGTTTACTCAAGATATTAACTTCTCTGAGTTTTATGGATGACTACTGTTTTTCAGTAATTTCTAAGACACACATATTTCCCAATTTAACATCTCTGAATTCAGGAGGTGTCTTAAAATGATAGTGTGCTATGGCTTAATTGTTATCGTCATGTCTTAGAGGTACAAAAATATAATGGTACATCTTATAGTCAAAGGCACTTAGATTAAATGAAATGTGGTAGAGATGGGGAAAAAATGGATAAAGCAGAGTATATTTGGAATACTGGATTTGACCAAGCATTAAACCCAAGTGACGTGGGAAAGAGGAAAAAGAACAAGGGTAGAAGGGGCAGTAGGTAATACCATCCAAGATTTTTCCTTTGCCTGCACCACGACCCTAGGAAATGGTGGTCATTTAAACAAGAAAGGAAGATTTGAGGATAAGGAGGCCAGTAATTTGAATGTTTGTGCAGTCTTGTCTCCTTTACTGCTTTCTCCATTGCCTAAGGGACAACTCAGTGTAAGATGGGATAGAGACCAGTCTTAAAAAAGGAATGATGTAAAGGAGCAAGTAGAGGATCTTAGAAGAAATCTTAAAAGAAAAACTTGTAAATCAAGTTGTTTAAAAAATTGTTTGATAATCTTGTGGAATTGATGTAAATTCAATAGGGAGTTACATTGAGGCATTTTAATATACAATTGATGAAAAGTTAGAATGACTCTATAGGAAAAGTCAGGATGAGTATCAATTCAGTTGAGATATTATGCAAAGAGAATGACAAAATTAATATCATATTTCTTTTATTATGAATATTGTATAAGTTACTTTAGTGTAGAATATTCTCTCCATTAGTTTGTTGCTTTATTTCTTGGCCAGGTTCAAATTCCTGGGATAGGTTTTTATTTAATGCCAATGCTTTCATTAGGCAAAAACCTTTAGAATGCATTTAACAGAATCCAAAATCTTCCATTCACTTACTTGAACTCCAAAAGGTTCATTTCATGGTGATAATCCCCCTGGACCATCTTTAAATTTGAAGTTTGCTCAGAACTGGAAGTCTCTATCTTTCCTAAGAGCTGCATTACCTAATGAAAGTATAAAAAGGAGCTTTTTTGTGTGTGTGAACACCACCACCAGCACTTACATTAATTATACTTTATTCCTAAAGGGACCAGGAAACACACTTGAGCCCAAAGCACATTTGCATTTGAAAATGATTTTTTTTCAAAGGAATGATTCAACAGTTATAGAACTATCTTCAGAGAAAGAATAATAAGGAAGTGTTCTGTTCTGCTATGATATTTCTGCTATGATATTCTTTTTCATAATAGACTACCTAATGACATAATAAAAACATACTATTGATACTAGCTTATCAATTTGTCAATTTGATTATTTCTTTACTTTCTGTCTCCCCAGTTACAATGTAGGCCACTATATCCTCTATCACCTCCATATCCTCAGTGCACATTCGGTGACCAATGGTAAATGCTCAAATACTTACTGAATAAATGTTTAAATGCACAATTAGGCTCTGAGGAAAACACACACGAGTGGCCTAAGGTTAGGTCTCAGGAATTTCCAGGTAGGATTCTGACATGAGTACAAATGAATTCCAAGTGAAATGACTTGGGGCATTTAAGATAGGAAGAAGTTCTAGAAGTTCTTCCAGCTCTAGAAGTTAGAATAAGAGTTCCTTCCACATTGCCAGAAGCATTGAGGAAGTTCCTTTAGGTAAAAGGACTGGATTGGAAAATAGACACAGAATTGCAGCACATAAAAAGGCCTAAACCAATCACTGCCAAGGGGAGTGAAACTACATGATTGGCTTTGGACAAACAGAACTCAACTCCTGAAACAGATGGTTATACGGAGGAGAGTGGGCACTTAAAGTCTGAGTCCTCTTAGAAAAGATGAAGGTGAATAATGGAAGGGTCTGAAGAGATAAATGTTGAGTGGGCAACCAATACCACATGAATGATTATTTATAGGCAATAAACTTAAAACAGGCTATGTTTAAGAGGTACACTTAAATGTGGAATTGTTAACAACAAAATAATGGGCAAATGTACACCTGGAAAAGCAAAGGAAAAGAAAACAAGTAAAGCAATATTGCTAGATAAAATGTTACTCAAGGCAAATATGCTAAATGGGACAAAGATGGTCATTTTTTTAGATAAAGACTAGCATTCACAGTGAAAAATACTAGAGTTTTGAACCTTTATTTACCTTATATATTGAAGTAAAAAGCAACAACTATAAAATTACAAGGATAAACTAACAGAGATGATATATTAGTGATTTTAAATGACTTCTCTTGACTCTTTACTGGTCAAATAAGTAAAATAAAAATAAGGATATAGGAAGATATGAAAAATATAGTTTATTTAATAGATTTAACACACCAAATAATCTAACTTGAAAACAGCACTCATTTTTCCCAGTCCTCACTGAGCATTTGCAACAACTAATCACACATGTGACTACAAAGAAACTCTCAAATTATTCCAAAAAGCAGGAAAAGCATACCATAATTCTAACTACACTGCACTAAAACTAGAAATTAATAAGAAAAGTATAAAGAAACAAAAATCTAACCATTTAGGTAAAAAAAACCCCACTCTTTTAATTCTATTGTTTAATTCCAGCATTTCACAAGAAAATGTTCCTCTCAGATCTCCTACTACGAGGAGCATAATTGGCCAAGGGCCTTCATTGCTGAGCTTAAAACCCATCACCATGTGTCAAGGCCATGCTTCCCAGCGGCTGGCTGCTCCTAGCCGATGTCTGAGTAGTAGTCCTTTGATGAGTGATTTTGGCTCAAGGAAGTTGATGAAACTTAGAATGGGAGTCTAACACCTTCCTTCCCCGTCTTTTTCACAGAAATCAGACCTGTATTGCAGTTTGATGGCTCTCTCCATCTCCTCCAGCTTCCTCCCCATTTTCCTCCACAGTTTTTTCCCTCAATAAATCTCTTGCACATCTAGTTCCTTTATGGCATTTGCTTCTTAAAGGACTAACACAAGTGTCAAAGAATAAATCAACTCTACAATAACAATTTACTTAGAAAGGATAATGAGAATGTTACATATCAAAAGGACATAGCCATATCTATAATCAGAGGTAAAGTTGTGGCATTAAATGTTTCCATAATTATACAAGACAGAATGAAGCTATGTAAACTAACCATTCATTTCACAAAGTTAAAAAGAGAATGAAGGGCTGGCCCTGTGGCGTAGCAGTTAAGTGTGCACACTCCGCTGCTGGCAGCGCGGGTTCGGATCCCTGGTGCACACCGACGCACCGCTTGTCAGGCCATGCTGTGGCGGCATCCCATATAAAGTAGAGGAAGATGGGCACAGATGTTAGCCCAGGG